GGGGGGGGGAGGCAGATCCCGTCGGGGCTTCCCGGAGAGCGGGGGGTTGCGATGGGAATCGGATCGCCCTGCAGAGGCGGGGGGAAAAGCGGGGTGCCGGGGTGGTCGGGGAGCCCCCGGGGTGCTGCCGGCCCCCCGCGCCGGGCGCGGAGAGGTGCGCGGGGGGCCGCGGAGGAGCCGCTCCCGCCTAGGTGTGAGCTGATTATTCAAATGGGCAGCCGAGGACCTGGGGATTGGAGGCTCGCCCGGCCGCTCCGTGCTATATCACTCGGGCACCCACGTCACTGCAGCACTTGTCCTCCTCTTCCTCCTCCTCCTCTTCTTCCTCCCTCCTCCCTCCTCCTCCTCCTCCGGCTCCTCCATCGCCTCCGGGCGACTCTTCGCCGCGAAGCGCTGCGAAAACCCACCCAAGGAGCAGCGGCGAAAAAATCCCACCCCAGCCCCAGCGCCGCTCCATCCCCCCCTTCCTCCCTCCCTCCTCTTCCTCCTCCTCCAGAGGCTCCGGCGGAGGGGAGGGAGGGCTGGGGACTTTTTTTTTTCCCCCCTTCTTTTTTTTTTTTCCCTTTTTTTTTTTTTTTTTTTTTTTTGGGTTGCTCTCTGTCGTCGTTTGTTGTGGCTGTTAAATTTTAAACTGCCATGCACTCCACTTCCAGTATGCTGGGAGCGGTGAAAATGGAAGGCCATGAGCACACGGACTGGAGCAACTACTACGGGGAGCCCGAGGTAAGGAAGGAGCCGGGGCTCCGCCGCCCCCCCCCGGTGCCCCCCGGCCCCGGCCGGGGTCCCCTCGCCGCCCCAGCCCCGGGGCACGGTTAACGTTGGCACCAAACCACGGCTCAGGGCTGCGGGCGGGGGTCCCGAGGTGCGGGTGGGGGTCCCGGGGTGCGGGTGGGGGTCCCGGGGTGCGGGTGGGGGTCGCGGGGTGCGGGTGGGGGTCGCGGGGTCCCGGAGGGCTGCGGGCGGCTGCTCCCTATTTTTTCCTCGCCCCCCCCACCCCTCCTCAACTCCCAGGTATTTTTCTCTCTCCGGGCAGCGCTGTCCCTTCCCCTTCCTCCAACTCTCCTTCCCGGGACGGCTCCGCCGATCCTGCTGCCAGCCCGTCTCGGGTTTAATATATATATAAAAATATATTTGTTTTTCATTAAGGAGAAAAACAACCCCTCCCGCGCCGGGATTTAACCCTTACCCCCCCCCCCCCCTCCCCGCCCCGCCGAGGAGCTCCGGGGCTGCGGGGGCCTCTCGCCGGCCACGACCCGGGCAGGGCTGGGCTGGGGGGTGTCCCCCTCTTGCCCCCCGCTCCCCCGAGCCGCCCCCGGCCCCCGCGGGGTGACCCGGCTGCCCACCCTCTGCTCTGCCACGTCCCCCCCTGTGTGTCGATTGCCCCCACAGAGCTACTCCTCGGTGAGCAACATGAACGCGGGGCTGGGCATGAACAGCATGAACACGTACATGACCATGTCGGCCATGAGCACCACGGCCAACATGACGGCCGCCACCTCCATGAACATGTCCTACGCCAACACGGGCATGAGCCCCTCGCTGGCCGGCATGTCCCCGGGCGCGGGGGCCATGCCCGGCATGGGCTCGGCCGGCGTGGCGGGGATGGGCGCCCACCTGAGCCCCAGCATGAGCCCCATGGGGGGCCAAGCGGGCTCCATGAACGCCCTGGCCCCCTACACCAACATGAACTCCATGAGCCCCATCTACGGGCAGTCCAACCTGAACCGCTCGCGGGACCCCAAGACGTACCGGCGGAGCTACACCCACGCCAAGCCGCCCTACTCCTACATCTCCCTCATCACCATGGCCATCCAGCAGTCGCCCAACAAGATGCTGACGCTGAGCGAGATCTACCAGTGGATCATGGACCTCTTCCCCTTCTACCGCCAGAACCAGCAGCGCTGGCAGAACAGCATCCGCCACTCGCTGTCCTTCAACGACTGCTTCCTCAAGGTGCCGCGCTCCCCGGACAAGCCGGGCAAGGGCTCCTTCTGGACGCTGCACCCCGACTCGGGCAACATGTTCGAGAACGGCTGCTACCTGCGGCGCCAGAAGCGCTTCAAGTGCGAGAAGCAGCTGGCGGCCAAGGACGGGGGCGGCGCGGGCGGCGGCGCGGGCGGCGGGGGCAAGAAGGGGCCCGGGCAGCCCCCCAGCCAGCCCCTGGGCGAGGGCAGCTCCTCGGGGGGCTCCGAGGGCTCCGGCGGCGCCGAGTCACCGGCCAGCGCCTCGCCGTGCCAGGACCACAAGCGCGCCCTGGCCGACCTGAAGGGCCCGGCGGGGCTGAGCCCCGGGGAGCCGTCGGCCTCGCCGGGCCAGCACCTGCTGGCCCCGCCGCACGCCGGGCTGCCCCACGACGCCCACCTCAAGCCCGAGCACCACTACGCCTTCAACCACCCCTTCTCCATCAACAACCTGATGTCCTCCTCGGAGCAGCAGCACCACCACCACCCGCACCACCACCACCCCCCGCACCACCACCACAAAATGGACCTGAAGGCCTACGAGCAGGTGATGCACTACTCGGGCTACGCCTCGCCCATGCCCGGCAGCCTGGCCATGGCGCCCGTAACGAACAAACCCGGCTTGGAGTCCTCCCCTTTAGCCGGAGAGACTTCTTACTACCAAGGTGTGTATTCCCGGCCCATCATGAACTCCTCCTAGGCTGGGGAGCGGCGGAAAAAGCCGCCCCCGGAGAGAGGGGGGGAAGAGCCCTCCCCGCGCCCCCCCCCCCCGCGGCCCCCCGGCAGCGCGGTGGACTCTGAGCGCTGGCCAGCACGGTGCATATACATACATATATCTATCTATTTTTTTTTTTTCCTGTTGGCTCCAGATGTTTGCATCCCTTCGGGAAGCGGCAGCCGTGTGTCTCTCGCGGGCCCGTGCCAAGGGCAGGCGTGTCGGTCACACCCCCCCCCCTCCTCCCCGGCCCAAAGCCACCCGGGGGGGGCTGCGATTCCCTCGGTTTGCCTGGTGGGGTGGTTCGTTTCGGCGGGGAGGGCGGGTTGGGGGGCTCGGGGATGGGGAGAAGGGGGTTCTCTCGGGCTTATTTTTATTTTTTTCGTTGTCGTCGTCGCAAGGAGGTATAAATATATCTATTTTTCTGTGTGGAAGCGGTGGGGGCAAAGTAAAAACCCCCGCGAGGAAAACGAGACCCTCCTTCATTGTGAAACCCGCGCTAGTTTGGAATCCGAGGACCAAAAGTCTTGTAATGTTGTAAAAAGGGGGGGGGAAAAAAGGGGGGAGGGGGGAAGAGAAAAAACATACGAAAAAATAATAATGATAATAATAATAATAATAATAAAATAAAAAAAAAAAAGGCAGGATAGATCGTTGTAATTGAAACAAACGCTTGATGTTACCGGGAGAGTAAACTACTTGGATCTGATTAATTTATCGTTTCTGTATGCTTTATTTATGGCTTATAAATGTGTATTCTGGTAGCGACCGGCCACATCGCCGCAAACTCTACATTAAAGTGTTATTGGCGGTTTTTTTCCCGCTGCATCTCTGTTCCGCCGGGACTCGCCCGTCGCCGCCGCCGCCGCCGCCCCGACGGGACCCCCGCCCTGCCCGCCTGGGATCTCCCACATCCCGGGCTGGGATCTCCGTAATCCCCGGCCGGGACCTCCAACATCCCGGGCTGGGATCTCTGCCTTCCCCGGCCGGGACCTCTGCCACCCCCGGCATCTCCACCGGGATCCCTCCATCCCTTCCAGGACCCCCGAGATCTCTGCCGGGATCCCTCCAGCCCTTCTGGGACTCCCGGGATCTCCGTCGGGACCTCTCCGTTCCCGGCTGGGATCTCCGACATCATTGCCGGGATCACTCCCGTCCCTTACAGGACTCCTGACACCTCCGCCGAGGACCCCCTGAATCTCCACCGAGACCGACCCATCCCTGACTGGGACCCCTCCATCCCTTCCAGAATCCCCTCATCCCTCCCAGAACCCCCCCAATCCCTTCTAGGAGCCCCCCATCCCTTCCAGAACCCCCCCATCCCTGCCAGGACCCCACCATTCCCAGGCAGGGGAAG